CCTCAGTCGTGTGTCGCATTTGCATGATGCATTGGATGCTTTGGTCGAGTTTTCCATCCGTGACTATTCCAAGACTGTGCCTTGCACACTGCTGCGTGGGTCGTGTTCATTACAGCGTGACAGTGAGAGAGTACGTGTTAGTCTGCTTCAGGCAAAGTTCTTCTGCAGCGACAAGCAGCTCCTTTACACGAGCCTTGCTGAGATTGCTGCTTTTGTGAAATGAGTTGGCGGCGGCCGTGACGAGTTTGTGCCAAGGCTGTTTCTGCTGGCATTCTCCTTCCTTGGACTCTTTGCACTGCACTCATCTGCACATGTGATATGATTATGATGCGAAGTTCGAAGTGCTGGTGGCAGTTGCGCTGGCGGCAGTTGCTGCTTTGTTGGTATCGTGTGTCCAGTTGTAAGGTTATCTTCGAAAGCGTGCCTTTGCTTACACGGTTCTGAGCAAGAAGCATACTGTTGAATACGGTGTGGCGAGCCATGCATTACTGTAAGGTTCCCCCACCTACTTTTTAGTGTATGCGATTGCAAGTGTACCACAGACTTGCATCAAACCTTGCCCGGTGGCTGTCGGTCAAGAGCAAGGTGTACTGCTCAGAATGCACAAGCGGAGACCTGCGAGGTCAGCTTTCTCTTCAACGCCGTCAACACGATCGATCTGTGCATGCGCATCCCCATCTTGGCCAAAGTGATCGAGTCCATGACACAAAGCCACGACCTTGGGGCGCCAGAGGATCTCGCCCAACTTCATCAAAGCTCAAGTTGAGGCACGTGAACCAGTCATCTGAAGGCGTGGAACAAGTCGCTGGCACCATGGTGCTGGGCTTCTGCATCCAGTATATTGCCGTCGGTGAAGACCTCAGCATGAACTTCTTCATGTTCATCGAGTCAGCTGCAACGATTTGCAAGGTGCGGGGTTCCTCCTCTTCAGTCAGGGCTATGGCTTTGCTGACAAGGCCTGCTCCGATCTGATCAAACATTCCTAGGACCAGGTGTCACAACAGAGAAGTCATCTTTAAAGCCTCTCTTCGTTCAATGGAATCTTCCTCATCTTCTGCCAAGTGGGGACCTGTCGTGGTCTTGCCGAGAGCTTGGTGGCCTTCGTGTTTTCGTTTCTGTGCACCTGCACCGAAAGCTTTGACAGAGGGCTGGCCCCTTCTTCCTCAAACCCGTCCGGTGCGTTCGACAGATGTTACTGTCGTCGGTTCCAGTGTCAGGACACCTCCGCCTGTTCCACCTTGCGCTCACCTCGGTTTTTGCTGTGCTATCAGATCAGGCGGCAGACAATCACTAAATTCATGGCAGCAGCACAGGATGGAGTGTCTCCGTGCCCACTTCGACTATGGGTTTCGCAGTGCACCAGCACCAGTCTTGGCTTCTCGAAGAACTTCACGAACGTGTGCAGAAGTGACAGCACTGGAAGCAGCCCGGCAAAGCTGCTAGAGGTCTGGAGCGGTCCGAAGCTCACCTACACGCGATTCACATTCGACTACGTCTACAATCTGGTTCAGTTCTTACGCAGCACACCGTTCGCCCATTCTGTCTTTAAACGGTTGCATCCATGCCATCAAGGTGATCATTCTGATCATGGCGGCAATCATTTCAGGCTGCATCCTAGCGGCATGCACGATCACAACGAGACACTTTTTTTCTGATGATGAGTTCGTGCCAGGAATTATCATCGATGCATTTGCCGACCTGAAGGAGGAGCAGAAGAGCATCGAGGACTCACTCGAATCATGTTGACCGTGATTTGGCATGGGATGTGGAATGCTCCGGTGTTCCGAGGAGAAGATGAAGTCTAGTTGCTTCATATGCTCCCTCAGTAAGCCGCTGACCTAGCTCCCCCATGTCTACATGTTTTTTGACGACTTCTACCAGCGCGCTGCTGCCCTAGCTCGTGTGAAGACCAAGGTCTGAACTGGAGCGCAAAAGGGTGAAGTTCGAGCCGCCCCACCTTGTTTGCGCGCATTCATTCGGGCCCGATGCACTGATTCTGTCCTTTTCATGCTTCAGGAACCACATCCTCAAGGACATCCGACGTGCAGTTGTAGGTGGATAGCCGCCATAGAGGATGCGACAACTTTTGGACTCCAACAGAGGCTGGCTGTCTTCCGCTTCTGTTCAGTCATCATCTGCCGCTACTAATAAGTTTAAGCAGGGTTGTCTCGATTCCATGCTTTACTCAGCTCCTTCAGGAGCACTACATGTGGGCTTACGCTCGCTTTCTCTTGTATCTGGAAGAGACGGATCCGGCTGAGCTGAATGGCCCAGAGAGCTACGTGAAGCCGGGAACCCGGACCTGAGCTGCAAGTCGGCATTCGGCCGTGCCGTGGACTGTGAACGAGGCAGCAAATCAAGGAGAACAACACCGGATTCTTCCCCATCGCGCGCTGCATCGCTATGGAGCCACAGCCTCGGCTTCTTTACCACCCAAGTGGCTCTCTGTCAGGCGAGGCAACAAGAAGCTTCAGCTGCAAGGTCGAGTGATGCTGGCGAAGAACATCTTGAGAGGGAAGTTCGGGTCCGCACGCTGGAGAAGATTTCGGGCGGCTAGCTGACCTCAGAGCGGGTGTTCTGGCGTCTGAGAGTGGCAGGTGAAAGACCTGGATGAGTTCAAAGAGAAGATCAATTCATTGGCCCTTGCCTCATCCAGCGAAGAGAAAGTTGGCGTGTGAGAGAATCCGTGACGGCACTGAAGATCCGAGAATCTATGCAACTCACGGATCAGGCAGAGGACACAGAGATCATGATACAAACCGAGCGGGGAATGAAGGCGGCATCGGGTGGCTTCCAAGCGTGGGCATGTCTTTCCGTGTGATGTGGCAGGCCGACATGAAGGAGCTGAGGGATGTCGTGACGCAGCAGTCACAGAAAGTGCAGGCCGGAGTAGGAACGCGTAAACATAAACAGAAGCTGTTCTGGAGCCTATGTGGCAGTGTTTGGGGCCTTCAGAGTTTTACGTGCATCGCCGGCTTGATAGCTAGCTTCCATCTCGAAGCAGCCAGGCATTGAACCAGCTTCTCGCGTCGGATGAAGATGGGGAGAAGAAGAAGAAAAAGAAGACGGGCTAGAGGCATCACGCTTAGGAGGAAAGCACTTCCATGCAGGCCTGTTGCTATATATAATGCAAAGTTGCCCCGCCGAAGTGCTACCGCTCTGATATTTGTGAGCTGGTAGGCCAAAGTCGGCAAGAGATGATGCGCACCACCAACAAGCTCCCTGCTCCCTCCACCTGCCGCAAGACCCATGTCGACGACAGGCCGTGATCATTGATAAAAGTTGTGCAGGAAATGGAACCAGGAGATGTGCAGAGTACATATGCAGATCCGTGAGAGGACGTGGCATCGCTCCCGGGTATGGTGCCTCGATGCACCCTGCGGACGTTTGGTGGACCGCATGTGGATCTTCTTTGCAGAGATCTCAGCATATCTCAGCCACTTCTTTCACTTGTCCGGCCTCGTTTCACAGAAGGGGATATTATTCATCCTGTACAGCATGAAACCAACTGATCACGCTTGCAGAGGCCCAACAAGGTGGACTGCCGGGACACGGAAGTATGTGAATCGCGCAGGCCTCGAAGGTGTGGCGCGACACTGTGTCAACAACACGTTCCTTGACGTTTCGATGACCCTGTACATAGAGCGCGGGTCTTTGGAAGCTCCGAAGCACGCACCCAACAGAGGCTTGCCGTGGAGGGGCATAGACCAGCGAACTTTTTCTCGTGTACGCCGGGCAGCTTAATTCACACTGCCAGACATTCCGAAGTTGTTGCAAGTCCTTTGTCGAGCTGTGAAGCAGGCAGAACGGGCTGAAGGTACATGAGGATTTGTAAGCAGAGACACGCAAACAGTGTAAGTGTGTAGGAGACCAGCCCGGTATGATAAGGTTGTGAGCCAAAGGAGACCAGAGACTTCGGGATTAGAGAGCCAAAGACTGCTCCAGAGCTGACACGCGCGGCAGGTTCCATACAGGCCCCCCTGGCCTTCGACCTTCGGCTTCCGTTCAGGAGCCCAATGCGTATTGCCGGTCGACGAAAAATGGTCTGCATTGTTTCGATCCAACGAGCCTTTCGTTTTGAAGGCACGGAAAGGGAGAGGCGAAGTGTGAATCGATGCTACTTCCTGACGAGGCAGCCGAGCTGCAGCTCGTGCTCGATACGCTGGACAAGCCGTGCCGCTCGCGCTCGCGCTCGCGCTCTGGCTCGCAGAGGGCGGCCCGGCATTCAGACAATGCCGACCTATCCTCCGATACCTAGGCGAAAATGCGAAACTGGAGCTTCCTCTCACATTCTGCTGAAGTTGTGTGGCCGCCCCTTGTTTTGCGGAAAGTGAAGCCGTCGCAGCCGCACCGCTGTCCAGTGAGCTGCCTGGATAGAATTTGAGGTGAGACGCTCCCACTCCGGAAGTCCGAAACGCACACACCTTTCAACTTGATTTGCCGGAACCAGTCAGAGAATGGCGAGCCTTACACACCACCATCCTCGGCTAAACATGTAGAACAATCTAGAGTCGACTGTACGGACGCACAGCAGGAGCATGAGGTTGTGTCTTCGTGTCAATATGAAGCCAGCCCGCACGGCCCGCAGCCATGGGTCAGAGGCTCAGCCAGCTTTTACTGGCTAGAAGTCACTGACGGTACACCGGGTATCTCGGTGCTTTCTACATTTCGACAGCCAAGGCCGGACAAGACTGCTTCGGCTGCTCGCTGGAAGCTTTGACACATCCCCGGCCGCCGAACCCATTAAATCCCATGCAATCAGAGCGCACTGATCGCCGCACTGACTGAACCTTCGCGGCGTCCAGCGCAAAGTTCTCAAGCCCAGCCGATTCTTGACTTGGCGAGGTCGGGTTGCTGCTGACCTACCCTTCAGCAGGACTGCGCCTTTGGTAAAAAAATCCGAGGCTCTTGCGTTCGCTCGCGACATGCATTCAGGATGGACAGGTTCCTCGGTCGTTGCCTCAGCTTGATCTAGGACTGCTATGGGGGCTCTTCGCGGCCTCAGACCTCTGGCCCGCGCCGTCTCGAGTCACAACGGCGCGCTTGATGCTGCCAGGGTGGTACCGGCAATGTATTTGGCCTCAACCTGAGACTACCACCATCGAGCTATTTATACTATACTGTCACATCCTCCACGCAGGCAACTTCGCCTTGGGATCATTTTAGCATGCCTTTTTCTTCGACTGCAATGCAGTCACTTGCCCCCTGGTCAAACATTCCAAGGTGTGACGATTCATGATCCCGATGACTTGTTGGGTCGGAGCGCATGGTCCCAGGAACTTCGAGTGCTTTTCTGTGGCCGCTGTTTTTTGCAAGCATGTGTTGCGCGTTGTTCGGGACACGCTGTACGTGCATGCTAACCCTGTGTGTGCATCTGTGCAGCCTGTGCATCCGGCGAATGGCAACCGAAGTTCAGCCCGCTTTCCTTTTCACATCCAAGCTAAGGGACAGCATTGATATTGCCGGTGAACAGTACACAAAGGTCGGGTCGGCTGGAAAATCTATGATCATACGCTTCTCTCCATTCAAAGTCCCACCGGGTCCAGCATGAGATGCAGTCTGTATTATGTCCTCGCCAACATCTTTTTTGTAAGAAAGGCGAAGCCTAAATAGCTGCTTTGGATCTCCTACATCCCATGCTGTCACAGACTGGCGTCTAAAGCCAGCTCGGTCCATAGCACGGCATGGCTCGGTATGCTGTAGACCTTGTGTGCCGCCAACCCGGGCGCACGCTTTGCAGAGAGAGTCTGTTTCGGCCAAGAGAAAGTCGACCCCGAACACCCTCCTCGCTCAGCCCGGTTCCCAGGGCCACCTAGTCTTCCAGTCGTTTCGCAAGGCCACTGACACAGCTAATCACAATAACCCTACCAAATTATTTTTTGGGCCCTGGACAGGACTGTTTGCAGCCCCAGGAGAAGCAGTTAGTTAACGCGAAACTTTCCACTCCGTTGCAATTAAGTCTGCGCATCGAGGAAACGGGACAACCCCAGCATCGCATGAGATGCCCTGCTCCTGCCTTCGTTCCATAATGTGCTACTTTTGCTTGCTTCGTTGCCTTTTTGGCCGTTCTGCCCTTGCCTCGACTCGAACTGGATGTCAGGAAACCAGGGGTAGGAGGAAGACAGACTGGAAGAGCGGAGATCCCATTTGCCCCTTGACTCTACCTCTGTTTCTCGGGTTTACTGAATGTGTCCTCTGGTCTAGTTCTCCTGAAATCTGTAGAAGAAGAATGGAAAGGGAAGAGCTGAGTAAAAGTGTACGCAAGTAGAGATCGGGAAGCAAGTGACAACGAGGCACAAACCCGCTAATATAAACGGAGACATGATAACAGAAAAGGATCAAAGAAGTTCTGTCTGGCATCTCCGCTCTTCTCCACTCCTTTCGCGTGTGCGTCTTTCCGTTTCCTCCCCTGAGCTCCGCCTAGCATCATTTTCCAAACGTTCAAAAGGAACGCAAAGCCTGCGGAAGGGAAGGAGGCACTCCATGGGAGCGATACTGTCTCTGCATTTTCCAGTTGCTCCTCTTGTCCTTTTCTTTTCTGCCTTAGCACATCCGCGGGACCATTGATATATGTATGTATGCATGCATGCATGCATGCATGCATGCATGCATGCATGTATGTATGTATGTATGTATGTTGTATGTATGTATGTACATATATATATATACTGATTCTGTCTGTGTGTGTGCGCTTTGCAGTTAAAGCGTCCACATATATATATATACATATATACATACATACACGTATATTATGTGTGTCTGTATGTCTCTTCATGTTCATGCGCGAACGCATGCATGCGTGCATGCACGTATATGCATGTATGTGTGCGTGTGTGTGTGTGTCTTTGTGTTGCAGGTCTGGTGCATTTGGACATGTCCCGCAGGATGCCGGAAAGTTGTCCTCGCTGCTGCAAAGCTTCGAAACGAGCATGGGCTCTGAATACCTCGGCCAGGCCAGCTCTTGGGGCTTCGAGTTCGAATTCTCGTCTTGTATCGTTGGGCGTTCAGTCCCCATCTTTGTCTAGAACAGGAGTGCCCGCAGGGAACTGAGTCGGCCCCTGCAGACAGTAGATATCAGTAGATCGTCGATCCCGCCTTGCAGTTTGTGTGTGTCTCCTATCTTGACAAGATGTGTTCTCATTTTGAAGCTCTTCGCCAAGGAAGAGAAGGGCAGAGGGTAGATCATCATCCCTTCTGCGAGTTACTAGTAGGTTTCGTAACCAGGTCGTCGTGCATAGGACAGAATCCAGTTCAAAATGTAATCTGAGAAGTGGTATATATCACGCGCTCTATCCGATTCCTGCATGAAGTTTGACGCTAGATATTAACTGGCCATGCCCAGTGTTGGTTGCCCGGCAGTTTGCTGTGCATGCGGGCGTTGCCTTCCTCGATTCGGCGGTGCCTTCAGCCCAACAGAGTATGTAATGCCGACGGCAAGAGAGAGACTGCCGAGGACGGGCTTCCGCATGTCAAGGCAGATCACTTGGCGCAGGCACCGAAAGATGCCCGAAGGTCGATGCCGTCTATAGGGCGCCTCACTTCAGGAGTTGGGCTTCAACGGAGCCGAGCCTGGGGTGTTGGTGGCCCTGAGCGCCCGTGTCTCAGTTCCCAGCCTTCACAGATTCACACAAAATTGAATTTGAGAAGCAGGCAGTGTCGGTAGATCTTGCTGGCTCCCTGCTACAAGCAGACCTGCCCGGTGGTGAGGACGGCGTTGTTGGTGCACCTGTGCCACGTGTTGGGCATTCACCGGCAGGAGCACCTGCTGGAATCTGACGCGTGGCTGTCTGTCATGGCCTTGCAACTACTTCATCCGTTCCAGCGAAGTACCTGTCCAAGCTTCAACGGGCATACCTTAGTTCAAGCTGGGGTCCCCAGGCAGAGGCACTTTGCCGAGCTCTCCTGCGATCAGGCGATTACATCTCTGCTGCTGAGGCTCGCCAGACACATGTGGTGATGGTTGGCGGAATCTGTCAATGCGGCATGAACAGGGTTGCAGGGTAGCAACTTTTCAGCAAGCTGATCCGCACAGGCTGCGCTCCGGGGCCTTCTGCAGGCCCTCACACATTCCGTTGCATCTTGGCTCATCGAACGATTCGCTCGAAGTTGACACCGCAGCCTGCCGGGCAAAAGCCCAGGAGAGCATCGCTCCGCACGGCAGCTTTAAGCAGAAAGAGTCCTGGCGCTCAATCTCCGCCCCGTATGGTCAGCAAGCCTGTTTTGCTTGGACACCAGCTCCTTGTAAAGGCTCGACAAGTGGGAGTCTGAGTACCAGGTTGGCGAGGCTTCGCCACTTTTGCATGCACGAAGTTCATGTCCGGCAGTCCCGGAAGTGCAAGCATGATGCCGCTCGAGTCTGTAGTCGTCAGCCTTGAAGGCATGATCAAACCACGATTGTTGCTCGAGGGTTCCACCAGGTATGGCTCAACATGTGTGGGGAGAAGGTTTGTCGAGAGCTGGTGCACCAACCTTACGTTCTCAGACCTTCCAGCAGAGAATCCGAATTTGAGTGGCGAAATTTGGGGAGGTTGGGCGATGTCCGGCAGCTCAGTGATGGATTCGAGTCTGCCTGGCTAGTTGCTTCAGTTGCTTCGCTGGCCTACCGGCGTCCAATCCTTGCGAGGCGGTACTACCACGAGGCCTTAGTTTATCCAGCTCTGAACTTGTCAAAGACTCGGGCATATAGATTCACGAAACACATGTGGGTCATGCTTGTTCATGCAGCCTTATTCGGACAGTTGCAGAACCGTCATCTTTGGTCCGAGGCTGGGTGCGCAGAAGCGAAAGGTACTGATCCTGGGCGGTGGTGCGTGGGCCTGAGTTGAGTCCGGCCGTTTTTTGTTGTTTGCCAGAGCTGCAGTTGATCGACACCTTTCCTGTTACTTGTGCATGCATGCGTGTGTGTGTGTGTGTGTGTGGGTGGGGGCGGGGAGGATGGCGGTGTTGCAACCGCTGCACTGCGCTTTGACACTGTGGAGCAGGCCGGGAAGTGGCTCAACCCGGGGCACCGAGAGAAGAACTCAGTGGAAGTTCACTCTCAGCATATCGGGCAAGACAGAACGAGCGACCAGCAAGCAGCAGTTTGCAAGGTACTCTCCGAATATTTCATTTGCACAACAGGTTGATATGCTCGTGCGCACGCAAATGCACAGATGACAGCTGGGCAGTGAGAGACTAGCGTCTTTTGTACCAGGTTCGGAAGGCAGACGGTCAAAAAGTGCTGCGTGCCTGGTCAGATCGTCAATGTGGACATTGACACCTTCGTCACGCAGGCAGCTACAAAGCCCGGGCCCAGGAGCTGTTTCTGCTTTGCCAAATGCTGTGCTAGGCGCACACGGACAACAGATTGAAATGAGGTGGTTTCCGACAGTGGCAGCTGGCCTCAACGACAGCAGATGCGAAATGCTACATCTGGATGCATTTTCGTGGGTGAGGGTCCCAATTATGGCTGCTTGGGAGCTTGTGTGCTCTCCACGACCGCACAGCAGAGTGGCCTTGCTCCAATGTTGTTCTACAGGTGGAGGAGCAGTACAACAGTGGCAGATCTACTTTTGACCTTGTAGTGATCGACTTCACCGATGAGCCGGTGAAGGGGTGCCCAGGCTAAGTTTCAACTGTTTGTCGCGCACCACCTGCGTTGACTTTGCTTCAGGGCCTGGTCGAAGAAGTTCTTCTCAGAGGTGAGAGGCGGGAGTTCTCAGCTTTCTGGCGCGAAACAAACCTAATGCGCAACGCAAGGTTTGCTCACGAAAGATGGCATTGTGGTGCAGAATGTTGGCACGTCCTGGCCTAAGAAGCCCCATGGTAAGAGTGGGACTGGTGCTGAGATGCAGTTCAGGATCGCAAACCCGGAAGACATGCGCAAGCTGTACGGACTTCATGCAGACGTGTTTCCTGCTGTCGACCTTGCATGCTTGGGCTCTACTGAAATCTCGTTCATGCTGAGACATAAATGCTAACCTCACCTAATACGGCAGGTCTTTCCTCTGCATGCAATGGTTCCGGACTACTTGCACTTCTGCCCTGTCTTCTGTTGCACCATGTAGGTATTCAGACCTAAATGTTGTCAGCTTCTCAACAAAAGCAGGGGTCCATACATGCTGGTGCTGAGCAGCCAGTGCCTCAGATACTCAGACCGCAGGGAAGCACCGCAGGGAAGCACGAGTCTTGTCAGCAATACCGGCCAAGCAGTGGATGCTTCAAGGCGCGAAACCACTGGATCCAGCAGCTGTGAACTGGGACCACTGGCAGAGGCCGCAATTGAGCAGTTCTCTTCAGTCGTTCGACTTGGCTTCAAGTTCGCATATCAGTCCTGGAGATATAGCTGTATGCCCCGCAGGCAGCAGATTCTGGGACAGTATTATGTCGGAAGCTAACGTGACGTAGATGTGCACGGCAAAGCATATGCTCTCCGTCGCTATCCCAGGGTGGGGCAGCTCAGCATCACGCCCTCTTCCGACACATCCCTGCTGATGTGCTGTGGCCTTGGGTACAGCACCACCGACGGGCATCATCTCGCTTGCAGAGTATGGCAGTGGCTCTTCACGAGAGTCTGGTACGGTATGGCCTGGCAAAGCTCAAGCAATATCACCTATGTCCATGCATGTTGGCGAGGTCTCAAGTGGCTTTCTGATCGCTTGCAAAAAGACTCTGTGAGTTGCTGTTCTGTGAAGGTCCCGTTTGCTGGGATTGTCACTGAGCTTTGACGAGAAGGTGCGCCAATGTCCCTGTTCTCGTCACAGACCGGTGAAGGGGCGCATTCTGCCGAGGAATCCTTGCCGGCTCCATCTTCTGTTGTTCGACCGCTTCCCTTTTTCAAAAGGGGCACATCCGGCAATGAGAAGGTACCAAACTTGTGGTGGAATGCGCGCTGGCGGCAGCAGTAAGGTAATGCGTCAGCCGACAGGTCGTCGTCAAGGTGAAGGGGATCGATGGCAGCAAGGCACCCACTGCGTGTTGTGTCAACATGGCGCCAGATGGCTTGGCTTAGAGGTGCAAGTCTCGGCGGAGGGAAACTCTCTGAGCCAGAGCCACGGCTTTATGTGCTGCGGGTAGGATTCCCACGGTAGGATCACGTACTGCCCTCGACTTCACGACAAAATGTAGTTTGCTTCAAGCTGCAGATTGGCCATGCCTCACGTACGAAAGCATGGATGCAGTCGCAAGCGCCAGCTCGCGAGAGTACCGCTAGCCGTGAAACGACATTGTCTGACATGGTGAATTCGGCCGGCATGTTGCCGTTCTGTCTGTCGTATCCTTGCACTCCGGTCTCACTCTGCTTCGCATTAACGAAACTCGCCGCCTTTGGCTGTGCGAGGTTTCTATCAGGACCGTGACTTGCTTCTGGACGCGAAATCCCTAGAAAGAGCAAGCACCCAAGCATGTCTCTCTCGACTCTCTTCCTCTGTCGCGCTCGTAACTCTTTGCACTTAAGTGACGAGGATGAGGTCCTCGTACTCCCAGCCTTGGCCGTCCTCGGTAGCCGGGCCCAGTCCGCTGGGCACCCAGCATTGGCTGCCAGCTGAAGAGGCATCGCGCATGAGCCCGAGCTCAGGTTCTTGTTCTGGGTGGCGGGACATTGCTTTGCACTGCAGAACCTGATGCTGATTGTCACTTTGAGAAAGTTTGATTTCGTGGCCCGGATTTGAAGCAGCGGAACATGTTTCGGCGTTCGGTTCATCGGTTGCCAGGCGCATGTTGCAAACAAGTCATGCAATTGCGCTGCCAGACGGAGGTACTCTAGAAGTCAGTGAGTCTCCACACCACCACGACTGGCAAACAGCCGACACAGACACAGAAGCTAGGAAAGATAGCTGCACGCTTTTGCGCAGGACAGGTGGAGTAGCGGCACTTGCACTCAAGTGGCCGACTGTCGAAAAGATCGTGGTGGTTGAGGCCATGTCGACTCGGAAATCACGACACAGCGACATAGCGAGCGGCTGTTATTTGCAGGTGGACGAGGTCGTCCTGAAGGTCGTCAGAAAGCACTTCCCCAAGCAGGCTGAAGTCCTTTCGGACCCCCGGTCGCCCGGGCACGCTTGTTGCTGTGCGACGATCGGCGAAGATAGACAAGTTTCATAGTCATAGGGTGTCATAGTGACGCTCGGTGCAGGGTCGAGCTCGTCCTTGAGGATGTCTTTGTGTGGATTCGGACTCAGATGAAACGAAAGCCCCCCTTTCTACCTTGGCGAATGTCTGGATCAAATGCTACGGTCTGACATGGGCTTAGGCTCACACAGGACAAGCGCAGCTTTGATTTAGTCGTCGTGAACATGTTGGATCAACCTTGGCGCCCAGCTTATCCAAGTCACGCTGCTGGAGTCGTTCCCAGCATGCAGCCCGCGGCTGCAGGCTGCCTCCCCGGAGAACGACCAGATTGCCCAGGACAAAGGCTTTCTATAGGCCAGCCATTGCCGATTCTTGAAGTCAACCTGGTCAGCGCATGCAGCATCGAAGGCTGCTGATGGCCACGGCCCAAGCAAAGCTTTGCTGTACGGGTAGGAACTTTCATGGCAGATTTGCAAAAGGTCAGAGATTCGTTATGTGGAAAAAATACAGTGACTGCCGGTAGACGTCATGCTGATGTTTTCGCTGCGGATCTCACTCCATCTCTTTGCTGTTTGCATTTGCCACACACTCGGTGACTCTTTTCCTTTCACTCGAGGGCTCTGGCTGCATACTGGCTCCACGCAAGCTCCCGCTCTCTCGTTCTCTCCATCTCTCTTGTCTCGCATCAGCAACTCTCTGCAAAGCATGACCAGCAACGCTTTGACTTTAGGCGAAAGTAGCCTCAGGAGGCTGCTTGACGCAGGAGGCACTGCCCAATTTCCAGCATGGTGCCGGATGGTTGCGGATTCTTGTGCAGACCTCTTCGCATCGTGTTTTCCGGCATTGGTTTTGTTTGTTCATGGTGCTCGAATCGGAAGGCTGGCAGTGCTGCAATGCCAGAGCAGTTTGGAAGTATGCCCTGCCCTAATCTTGAGCCCGTGTCAGCATTCCATCCTTCAAAACTACGAGATGTCTGGGCTCCCAGGTTGTCCATCCATCGCAGTATCTTTGTGAGCACGTGGGTGCCTCAGAGAGCAGTCGAGTTGATGTCCCTGTCTGCAGTGAGGTGGCCCATGGCAATGAGCAGTTCCAGCCCACAGCCAGCAGAGGGAACCTCAGCTGTGCATGGCTCGGCTTCGCTGTTCCACAAAGTCATCGTCAAGGTGCCAGGAGATGAGTTTGATGGCATTTACTTCCGCGGGTGCCTCAGTGTAAAGCACTGCTCCGCTCTTCAGCTGCCACATTCCCACGAGGTTTGCCACGACTCTTTCTTCTCAGCACGGTGAATGTACTAAGCCCGCTGCAGGAGCCGTGAGGGTTTGGTTAATTGCTTTGCCGTTCTTACTTTCAATCGTTGGCTGTGATAAGTGAGAGGGAGAGAGAGATTCGTGTCTTTCAATAGAACTTGCTTCGGATGGTTATGTATGTTTCACCGTTTTTTCTTTCTTTTGCGTCCCCTGTTTTTGTTCCCCCCCCTTGGTCCTGTGGTCCTCTGGTAAAAACTGCTCAGTAGTTTGGATACAGACACACTCGGGCCTAGGGCA